AAAAATCAGCTGAATATAGTTCTGCAAGTCGAATTAATTTCTCTTTATTATAAGCAGAGAATGAGTCACTTGGATTTAGACATGATATGCAAAGAAGCAATTCAGTACTAGCTTCAGAGAATCTATTATTCAGCTCTTGAAGTTGCATATCAATAATTGAGTAAAAGAATTCCACACAATAATGATGTAAATTTGAAACATCATCATTTCTGCGTGTTGATCGTCGACGGGATTTGAAAGTAGAACTCATAATAGGAACATCAACTTCAAAAACATTACAAAAACGAGATACTTCTTCCAATAAGGAATTCCATCCATTATCTCTCATCATTTGTAATTGTTGTTTAGAGATTTGTACTAACTTCATTGCATTCACTATATCCTGATCTTTTCTCTGCAAGGCCTGTGATAACTCATTGGTGACACCTAAAATATCAATCATTAAATGCATAGCAAGGATAAAATCGAAAGATTCCATGGCATCTATCAAAACACCAGCTTCAACAGCATGTTGATCATGTACCCCATCTTCTTTGATAATTTCAAGAACTTCAATTACTGACGCATACATTTTTTTCAAGCTAATTAATGTATGAAAATGTGAACCCCAACGGGTGTCACCAGCTCGTTGTAAGCTTGTCTCTTGGTTCAATCCTCTACCACTGCTCAACTCCCCTTTAGACAAATGAAACAATATTTTATCATGCTGAATTGCTCTAAGAGCATCACTCCTCTTACATGAAGCTCCAACAGTATTGACAATTCTTAAAGTGATCTCAAAAAGATGCTTTGCATGCCAATGGTTTTTAGCTACAGCAACTAAGCACAGTTGAAGCTGATGAGCAAAGCAGTGAACATAGAATGCATGAGGGTTATCATTAAGTATTAAGGCCTTCAAACCATGAAACTCCCCACGCATATTAGATGCTCCGTCATATCCTTGACCTCGAATTCTATGTATGCTCAATGAGTGTTTAGCAAATATATCTTCTATAGCTGCTTTTAAGGAAACTGCATTAGTCGATGCGACATGTTTAATGCCTATAAACCTTTCAACAACTTGCCCTAAATTATCCACATATCTCACTGCAACAGCTAGTTGTTCCTTCGTTGAAACATCCCGAGATTCATCAACCAAAATGGCATAGTAAGAGTCACCAATGTCTTTCATGATTGATATCAAAGTTTCTGCAGGTGCAGCTGAACAAATTTCTTTCTGAACCTTCGGTGAAGTTAACTTCAAATTTGAGCTTGAATGTATGGATAAAACTTTCTTAATTTCATCATTATGATTTGCAAGGAAATCAAGAAGCTCTAAATAATTCCCTCGATTCGTTGATCCGGATGACTCATCATGCCCACGAAATGATAATCCTTGATGTAATAAAAATCGAACACAATCTACTGCAGCAGTTAACATGATCCTATAATCTTTTTTATTCTTTTCCTCTTTGCTTAACCATAATACTGGGAGTTTGTGTTCGTGACTCTTCAACAAATCTTCACATTTTTGTCTTGCCTTGTTATGCTCACTACTATGCTCTCCGACATGAATAAGTAGTTTTTCTTTCTTCTTCCAATTTCTGAATCCTTCCCCAACAAATGAGTCACCACCAGCTTGGCCTTTCCTAATTTGTTCTTGGGGCTTGAATAGATAGCAGTAAAGGCAAAAAATAGCATCTTTTTGTATGCTGTACTCTAACCAATCAGCATATTCTTCAAACCATTTAGGGTTAAACCGGCGAGCACTATTCCCTATTAATGTTTGGGGGAATTGATGACTTCTCGGTTGATGGGGTCCCTTTAAAAGATAAGTTCTTCGAATTTTGTCCCTATCATTCATATCATAACTCCATATTGAAGGTCGGAGTCCGGGATCAGCCGGGAGATCATCTAAGTCAACCTCTACACGTTCTTTCCTCTTTAAATAACGTTCCATCTATTAAGTCATATAAATGTATTCAGGATCAAATTGAAAAATTAATTAATTAAGTATACATTATTATAAAAATGAATGATAAGAAAATCAGTAATTTGAATATATAATATAAGTACAGGATCATCCCGTGATGGAAACCTCTTAAGACAAGTGCAATGGAAATGCTTCAAGCATGGCAAGTCTCGTCCAAAAAATTCTCAAAATTTTATTGAGCAACACATCAATAGCATACATTATTGATGCTTTTGAGCTGATCTCTTATGGGCATAACAACACTATGGAGGTTAAAAAAAAATTAAATTAACTCATGGTCCCATTCGGAAGCCATCTTATGCTTGCCAAAACTCGTTGAAATTCTGAATCTGTTTATAATAACTAATTAACTATATATGATATCTAAAAGGAAATTAACTAGTTAAAAGGAGTTACATCGGAGCCTTGTACAGAAAAAAGGAAAAGAGAGCAGAAAAATACTGAAAAATATATCAATGGAGTTACAGAAAAATACTAAAAGGAGTTGCATCTTATTGTAACTCATATAGAGAGAACATAAAGCCATCTTATGCTTTCCAAAACCCTAAAAAAAACTGAAACTGCCGCCTTGTACAGAAAAAAGGAAAAGAGAGCAGAAAAATATATCAATGGAAAATAAATATAAAACTCACCGGAGCAGCTGAAGAGAGACGTGACGCCGGCGATGGACACAACGACTGTGGACGACCTTTCGAAGGCTAACATCGGCGACGGGGTACAGCACCGAGATCCACTGGTGGAGATCGGGAGAGGAATAGCGGCTGTGTGAGCCGTGAGCGTGTTATTCCAGGCAACTAGGGCAAAAAGGGGCAAAATAAGAGTTCTAGGGGGGGCAAATGACATAAATGCCCATCTCATGTAAATAATTTTTTTTTTTTAGGGGGGGCAGTTGCCCCCTCTGCAGCTCACGTGGTTCCGCCAGTGCACTTAGGATTTATTTATTATGGCATATAAAGCTTTATTAAGAGTAGGATGGCATAGCAATAGTATATAACATCAGATGGTATTTTTGTAAATATGAAAGTTTGTGGTGGAATATTAACTTTGTAGAGTGGGTTTTATTATGTGATTTTGAATTTGTTGCTCAACAAGGAAGTTGATCAATATAATAAAATTAGGTTTGTTGCGTCTAGGAGTATTCGTGGCGGTAGAGAAATATGAAGTTTAACGTCTTAGCGTTGTACGAAAATTCGGCACGCAATCAGATAAGAGAGAGAGAGAGAGTGTGTGTAGCATTCATAGGAGACACTAAGATTTTTATGTAGAAAACCCATGAAAAAGGGGGAAAAATCACGGGGCCTAGCCCAGTTTGAATGAATCCACTAGTATTGTAGTCGATTACAAATGAGGCCCTTCTTTGGGGGAAGGTCTGGGCTTGATGCACTACGGGAAAACACGCGATTACCGTCGGATTTTCCGGCGGATATTTTTGCGCCGGCATTGACGGCGCAGGTTCCGGCGGAGTGATGCGACGTAAAGTTTACGGCGTTATTTCCGGCGGATCTGACGCCGGAAATTTACTGGCGTCCATTGCGCCGGTAATTACGCCGGTGAAAAGGGCTCTGGATTATTTCCGGCGCAGATTACGGCGGAAACGTTCCGGCGCACGTTACCGGCGGATTGTGCGCCGGCTTATTTAAACTCAACGAAAACGTTCCGGCGCATTATCCGACGGTAACATTACCGAAGTGTATCGTACGTACCGGCGAATATGATCCGTCGGCCACTACCGTCGAAAGTCCGGCGGATATTCCGCCGGTAATTACCGTCGCATTATACGACGGTAAATGCCGGCGCATTAGGCGCCGGAATTCTCATATTCTTCGCGTCGGCAAACAGACCGGGTAATGCGCCGGTAATGCGTCGGAAACGGCGCCGGAAATGTTTCCGGCGCAACTTATACGTCGGAAACAAATTATCGACGCACCCTAAACCGGCGGAGATATTTGCGCCGGAACATGCGCCGGAAACTAACGGTTCCGTCGGATTGTGCATTGTTTCCGGCGGATTACGTCCGCCGGTAATAACAGGTTTTCCTGTAGTGATGTACATTATATGAAGTACATTACATGTTGGAAATACAAAGAGCCACTGTTGATGTGTTCGTTTGGTCAGGAGGACCATAGTCTGGTAACGGAGGTCAGAAGAATCGTAGTCGGTGAGCGAGGAGGTCATAAAGACCTTTGTCTGGCGACGGAGGTCAGAAAGACTGCAGTCTACGGACGACGTAAGTATGGAGAACTGTAGTCGGCTGGTGATGGAGGTCGGAAGGACTGTAGTCGGTAGACGACGTAAGTCAGAAGGACCGTAGTCGGCGGGCGACGAAGGTCGGAAAGACTGTAGTCGGCGGGCGACGTAAGTCAAGAAGACCGTAGTCAATAGGCGACGGATGTCGGAAAGACTGTAGTCGGCGGGCGACGTAAGTCGGAAGGACCGTAGTCGACTGGCGACGGAGGTCAGAAGAACTGTTGTCTGAAAACGAAGGTCAGAAGGATGACGTCAGGTAGAAGTCCAGCAATGGAAATAAATCCATCTTCAGATAGAAGTCCAACGAAAGTCCAATAACCGGTAGAAGTCCGGCGTCGGGTAGAAACTTGGCGATGAGTGAAGGTCCGGCGTCGGGTATAAGTCCGACGTTTGTTGGTGGTCGAGGAGAACTCCAGTATCACTTGGGTGGAGTTTCGGCGTCAGGGGGGAACTCTGTCGTTACTTGGGAAGAATTTCAGCATCCCGTGGAAGTTGGGTAGAATTCTGGCATCCTGTGGAAGTCGAGCAGAATTCTGGCATCATTTGGAGTTCAAGCGGAACTCCGGCGGTGGTCGAGGAGGAGTCTCTTCCCTCCTATTCTTCTCTTCTTCTCCTCCTCCTTCTTCTTGCTTCTTGCTTCTTGCTTGGGTCCTTCTTGCTTGGCTCTTGGTTCCCCTCTCATGAGAAATGAGAGGTCTATTTATAGATTTTATGTAGTGGCATAGCTTGTAAATATGTGTGAGATCAGGGGCAAATAGTGAGTGGTTGAACGGACGATTGATATTGAATCCCTTGATCGTGCACCGTTCATCAGACATTTTGATGTCTTAATGATGTCGGAATTTGAAAATCTTGGGTTTGTTGGATTTGTCTCGTCGAGCCGTTCGATTCGACTATAAGCTCGTTAAAATCGAAGACCATTTGGTCACTCAAATTGTGGTATGAACTTTCCAACAGCACTTCGGGTGCTTGATTTGAACTCATTTGAGCTCGGATTGAGTTGAATTTGGTGTCGTTGGGTTCGTATTTCCAAGATGCTCAGTTTGACTATAAGTTTGCTGAAGTCATAGTTCAGATGCTCTCGGATTTAATTTTTGATGTTTCCAACTTGATTTTTGCCTCGAGATTCATGCTCGATCAAGATAATTTTTGCATGACGTATCAAGGTTAAATTATTTTTGGTATTATTAAAATCTAATTTGAGTTAACTTTATTACAAAATACTTCATTAAATGATTTTTATTGATAATAAGATTCTTTTAGCATTTACGTGTTATAAGAACCTCAGAGTTGAATTATCTTGAACTAATTAATTTTTTTCATCTTAACACTGATTTTGAATATAACACGTGAAAATCAAAGGACATTCACATCTTCAATTAATGTACTAAAGTTTCTAACCACAAATTAACTATTTGGATTGAGCTCATTTAGGCTAAAATCAGATTACTTTTGGTATCTTGAGTTTGCCTCACCAAGATGCACAGTTCAACTGCAAGTTTTAGAAAATTGGAGGTTAAATAATCCAAAATCTAATTCTAAAAAATTTTAGTATTAATAATTCTTAAATGAGCCAGCCCATGAGCTAACGAGTCAAATTAAAGCTAGCTCAAATTTGATTAGTTAGCTCAACGAGCTCAACTCACGAGTCATTTATCGAGTCAAATCTGAATCAGCTCGCAAGTTACTTTGACTCAATTACAACCCTAATTGACTAATTGGAATACTAAATATTGCATTTAAATTTTTTGCAAATTATTAAGTAAGCATGACAGTTGGCCATTAAAAGAGAAGCATAATACTAAGTTAAGTATGGCAGAGATGAGGATGCTCGGGTGGATGAGTGGCTTTACCCTTAGAGATAGGATACGAAATGAGCATATACGTGAAAAGGTTGGAGTAGCTCCAGTAGAAGATAAGATTAGAGAGAGTCGCCTTAGATGGTTTGGTCACATAAAACGGCGGCCTTTCAATGACCCGGTTAAGAGAGTAGATATATTAGATTTGACTTATGTTAAGAAAGGTATCGGCAGACCTAAAAAAGACTTGGTTAGAAAATATTAGGGATGACCTTTCTTTGTTAGATTTAAACGAGAATTTAATCTTTAATAGGACACAATGGAGAAAAAGGATTCATGTAGTCGACCCCACGTAGTGGGATAAAGACTTGATGTTGTTGTTGTTGTTGTATTAAGTAAGCATGACAAAATTAAGCACAAGTGAACATCAAGACATGATAGTGAATAGTGAACATTTCTAATAACATGCTATTTAAATACAATTAACAGAAGATTAAAATCCCAATTAATTTATATTAATTACAAGACAATCGACAATTATAATAATAATTATTATCTTAATGATGAAGTCATAAGCATTTACATACATACTTTAATCAATTAAAGTGTAAAGAATATAAATAAAAATAAGTGAAGTGATAAATAATATAAATCAAGATATTTGCAGGATTCGGCACTAATGGTTACATTATGCAAATCGAGATATTTATGGGATTCGGCATCATCACCCACTTTGTAATCCTATGTACAATTTTTTTAATAAAATTAAATAAGTTTTTTTATCAGAAGAAACAGCTCAATCGGTCACTTAATTATTAATTTAAATTAAATGTTGAACAAATAAAATAATTAAAACTATTTGCATTAAATGTGCAAAAGATGTTTCGAACATCTAAAGTACTTTAACTTGGGTTAGATTTA